GAACAAAACAGACTCGACTTGAAGAAATTAAGTACATTTACTAAGAATCAAATCAGAGTAGGGTAACAAGAAATAACACAAAATCTTAAAACACCTTCCCCCACTTCTCCCTTCTCCCTGGGCTTAACTTCACTCCCAATTTCTCTGCCTCCTGCCCTCCAATGACACAGGGGACCAGGAAATGAGGGCTGTGGTCAGTTCATCACACATTGTCTCTGCTGCTCCTTCCTCTTCCTCTGCTCCAACATAGGGTCCTTCCCACAGGAGACAGTCCCCCATAAGCATCTCCAACAGGAGTCTTTCCTGAAAGCTAACTGCTCTTCATGAACTGCTCCATGTGGGTCCCTTCCCTGGGTGCAAATCCTTCCAGAACAGCCTGCTCCAGCGTGGGTCCCCTGTGGGGTCACAAGTCCTGCAGCAAACCTGCTTCAGCCTGGGCTCTTATCTCTATGGGTCCTTCCAGGAGCCTGTTCCAGCACAGGCTTCCTATGGGATCACAGTCTCTATTGGACATCACCCTGCTCTGAAAGGGCACAGCCTGCTTCACCATGGGGTGCACCACAGGCTGCATGGGAATCTCCGCTCCAGCACGTGGAGCACCTCCTCCCCTCCTTCTGCACTGACCCTGGGGTCTGCAGAGCCGCTGCTCTCACATATTCTCCTCTTTGGCTATAATTGCTCCTGCAGTATAACTTTTCCCCCTTCTTAAATCTGTTAACCCAGAGGCACTGAGGCTCTGTCAGACATAGAGGAAGCTTCCAGCAGCTTCTCTCGGAAGCCACTCCCGTAGCTCCACTGCTACAGAAACCTTGCCACACAAACCCAATTCAACCTCTTTATTATCTTCATCTTCTCAGAAAGCCATCAGTTCAGGGCTCTGTCTGTGCTACTGAATCGCCATGTCCATCACAGGAGTATCATGGCACCCCCTACCTTCCCCTGCATCTGCTTTAAAATCAGTTGCTCCGTTTGCATAGGATGGAAAGTGCAATGCAATGCTCCTCACGCTGAGGTGCTGGACACTTTACTGTCTAATGTAACATCTGTCCCCCTCCATGTCCATTATTTGCAAATACTGTCCTTGTCTCCCTTCCCTTGAAGAATGCCCATTAGTAAATGTAGCTGTGAACACCCACAGCACATCCTGCCTTCTTGTGCTTAATGTCATACTTAATACAAAACAGCCTCTCCGTGTCCCTGCAGTGCAAGACCACACTGCTGCTGTAGAAATTGCCGTTGAGTGTTTGATGCTGAAAGATCATTTTGTTATAAATCATCCCCAGCGGTGGCTATGGCCTTTAAAAAGCACTTTTGTGCTGCTCTCTTTACAGCTGTGTGTAGACTTGAAAACACCTCTGTGTCTGTGTTTCCACAATTACCTTGCATGCTATCAGTGTCAGCAGCATCAACTGCTCCAGACTGCACTGTGTGCATTGTGGCCCTGCCACACCTTACAGCCAAATGCAAATCCTTCTTGATCTGTATGTCACTCATTAGCCCCTGCGGACCCTGGGACAGGGGCAATCAATCTGCAATGCTGTATGCAAGGAGTCCACAGGCCAGGGTAAACAACCTAGAAGCTGCAAAGCTAATGAATTTGCCTCTGAGGCTTAAATGTAAGAAAAGTAATTAATCTTGCTGCATTTCACTCATCATCAAGCAAACTTTTGCTGATGAAGAAGAAAACTGCTGAGAATAGCAGTTCACTCCCGATGTCAGCCCCTCCCTGTTGGACTTTGTGGATAATTGGCACATCATTAGTATCCCATCTTCTACAGACTCCCCAAGAGGCAACAGTGAAAGAAACAGGTAGATGTCAGTGAGGGAAGGGGGCTTTGCAGCTCAGACTTGAACTTGCAGTTCCAGTTTGGCTTAGTGTCTCAATTTCGCTCAGATGTGGTTAGAGGGGAAGAGAAACCAACCCAAAACCTGTCACCATCACCAAAAAACTCCAACCAACCAAGCAAGCAAAACCAATCAGAAAACCTGTGAGGGAAGGGGGAATGTGCGAATCAGCTGTCAGAAGGTTTCACTGCAGTTGTGTATGAGATGTTTGCCCAGCCTTGCCACTCAGCCAGTATGAATCATGGATGAATCCAGCTCCTGCCCATCTAAGTCTCAACGATGGGGCATAAGATGAAGATACCAAAGACACACATCAGGTGTAATCTCAAACCACTTCAAGCATCTGGACTATCCAAGGCGTCTGTTTTAGTGAGATAAATTGCTCTCTTGAGCTGTCTGCTATATGTGGAGCCTATGCCGGCTAGCAGAGAAGTAGCCACCACTGCAAGATGCCCTTTGCAAACTCATCAGTGAGCTGACAGACTTTGAGAGAAGTGCTGAGGAGCCGGCCAGAGAGCTGTGAGTGAGAGCAGGGCTGGCAAAAATCAGCAAGGGTGCCAGAGTATTTGGCCCTAAATGGGCAGCAGGATCAGAGGCACACAAGGAGCTGTCTGGCTGCATAAACACAGTCCTGGCTGGTCTCAGGAACCAGATGTAATTCAGAATCACCAGTGGCACTCCCACGAGTGATGTTTGCTGAGATATGGTTAGTGCATTTTCATTGCCTGTTGAGGACCAGAGTTCATTCCCTTCAAGGCTTATTGCTGTGATTCCTCAGGCTTGCTGCACGAGAGTGAGCAATCCAGTTCTGGGAAACATGCAGGGTGGAGAATGCATATGATTTTGGTCATTTGGGGGAGCAAGAAAAGATGATGCAACATAAACATTAACACAAAGGGGAAAGGGAAGGATAGGAAAACAGATGAAGAAATCCGTGAGTCAAACAAGACATGCAGATGACTACGTTTGTTCTGCTCATTAGAAGTATTTTTTCACAGAAAGTACTTTATTCCTACTAAGAGGAGCACAAAGGTTTGTGCTTTGATCTCAGAATCACTCCTTGAAACGCAGGAGTTTTAGCAAACGTTATAACCCACACAACAAAATGTCCATGTTTTATCTGAATGAAAACATTTTAATTACCTAGTTTGATTTAATCTGTATATGGTAACAAAATGCATAGAAGATACTTTACTATACACACATTAAAATATTTAAGCTCTGTGCAATGGGGCTAGAGCTCAAACGTGAAAACACTGTCAGAAACCAGTCCTCTACCTCAGTATCTAGTAGAGTGAAATGAGCAGAACATGATTGTGAGACAAGCCTTTCACACCTATCTTGCTGATTTGGAGTGAGAAGTATTTCCATTCACTGCCGATGAATAGACCAAATAAACACTGCTTTTAGGTTTCTCACCTGTCTCAAAAACTTTAAATGGCATAAAAATTCTGCTCAGGACAGGAATTGTAAAAGCCTTATTTAGTGGATTGAGCTTTCATATCCTAGCAGAAAGGACGGGGTATGAGCCAAAGGCACAGCGTAGGTCCACACATGGAGGGGGGAGAAGCGGGCATAGGGAAGGGGCTGTGCTGTGCTGCAACCCTGGAACTCCTGTCTGCAGGCAGCACAGAGGGAGAAGTACAGCAGAAGCAGGAAATGGGGCAAGGACCAAGCCATGGTGTGTGTTGTCAATGAAACAATGTTCTTGCTTTACTGTTCTGCCTGGGTTTTTTTTTCCATATGAGAGGTGTTTTTTTCAGTTTATCTTAGAATAACAGTAATCACTAAAGTCAAAGCAAACCTGCAATCGCTCTCTGCACCATATCTTGTAATTTCAGATGGAGTTAGATGAAACTCAACATAAATAAACTCAGTTCAACCTTCTTGAGAAAAACAAGGCTAATTTAAACTGCACACCCGTGTCATCTGATGTGGCGCTTGCAGCACTTACAGCCTCCCAGTGGGGTCTCAGAGTGGCTGTGAGGCCACCTGCAAAAATGAACCAGATTTGGAGCTTCAAATCTTGTTATGCAGTGCCATCTTGAGGTTTTATGAAAGGCTATGTGTAGCTTCTATCAGGTTGTAGTTCAAGCAGTTAATTCTTCAGGGTGTACAATGGGGTGCATTGAACTGTGTGAACCATAGAAGACAGGGCTGGGCTCACTCAGCAGGAGCACCAGCGGCCCATTCCCTGCTCCATGGTGGCATCAATGCTTTGAAAGGCCTCTCCTAGGAAATGTTTGCCTATCCAGTGTTTAAAACCCCAGCAACACACATCACACTGGCACTGGAGATGAGGCAGTTGTGAGCCACAGCACATGGATGCTCCTCTTCTCTGACAAGACACAAACCGGTATCTCTGCCCACTGCCAAGTGGCAAAGCATAGGGCTGGCACCAGGGGTTAAAAGTGCCACCTCAGCCACAGCTGCTCTGGAAACGGGGTTACTGCTTCAGTGCCTCTGCAAAAGCAGGTTTGTCCCTCCAGCACCGGTGGAGGACAGTTGTTCTGGGCTACAGCATGCCTGGGGGATATTTGGTGACAACGAAGCAGCAGTCACCCCGAGCCTGGTTTTGGGCTGCCAGGGCTGGCCAGAGAGTAGGGAGCTGGATGGGAGTCACAACCTGGAGTGAAAACCAGGCAGTAGAAGAAGACTTGGAGGAGCAATCTGAGCACTTCCCCATGTGGGGAATGGACGGCGAGGACGCCAGGCAGGTGGGAGGCACAGACAAGGGTCAGCGTGGCGCTGCCGCATCACCTCACCCCGCCATGCTGTGCCTGTGCAGACAGGGGTGGCTGGCCCTTAGGGTGAGAATCGGGGATCTGAGGAGGGTGGGCTGCCCGGCTGCCCCGGCACTGGGGCAACCATGCAGGGGATTCCCTGGGGATGGGAGCAGCCCTGCGGGGCCGGGACCAACAGCTCCCCCAGGAGCCGGTGTGCCCGTGGGGACGCGCTGGGTGACCAGGGGTCCCGGCGCCCTGGCGGGGACTGTGAGGCCCCACGCTCACCCACCCGCCGCAGGGGCAGCTCGGCCGTTTCCGTCAGCGCTCGTCACTTTCCGGTTGCCTCGGCCACGCGCGCGTGGGGGCGGGCGGGGGTGCGCGCCTCCCCCGCACCCCCTGCCCCCCCGCACCGAGAACCCCACTCGGTGCTTTCCGCGCGGGCTGCCCCGGGCGGAAGCGCCGTTCGCGCCTTCCCGCGGCCGCTCGGCTCTTTCCGCCTCCGCTCCGGGGCGCTTCGTTCGTTTCCGCGGTCGCTCGGCTCTTTCCGCGGGGGCCGGCGGCGCGCTCGGCCGTTCCCGCCGCCTGCTGGGCGCTCGGCGTTTTCCGTGAGCGCTCGGCGTTTTCCGTGCGGGCCGCGGCGCGCTCGGCGCTTGCTCCCTGGCTGGCGCTCCTCAGTCGGCCGCTGCCTGCCTGTCGCCGGGCTGGGAGCGCCTGTGTGTGTGTGAGTGACGCGGCGGAGGTGTAGTTTGACGCGGTGTGTTACGTGGGGGAGAGAATAAAACTGCGGCGAGATCCTAGGCGCGAACGAAAGCAGTGACGGAGCAGCCTGGTAACCGGTAAGAGGAGGAAGGCGCCCAGCAAACAGGGGCGGGGGGGAGGGAAGGAAATGGAGCCCGGCGGGGACCAGGGGAGCCGCCGGGCGGCAGGACGCGGGGGCCCGGCCTTGCACCGCCCGCGGGAGGGGCGCCCGCTTTAAAGATGGAGCCGAGCCCTGCAACATCCCCGCCGCCGCCGCGCCGCGAACAAAGGATAATGGCGGATGGGAGCCGGCCCCGGCGGCGGCCGCCACGGCCGGGCGGCGGCGGCGACTCTGGCGGCAGCCAGCAGCGGCGCTCCCCGCGGCGGGGAAGGGGGATCGCGCCCCCCGGCCCCTGGAGGAGGCGGCGGAGGAGGAAGACGACGAGGGGGGAGCGGCCGCTCACCCACCCGCGCCCCCTCCCCGCTCCTCCGGGTGCGCCCCGGCTTGCTTCCCGGCTGCAAACCCCGCGTTCTCCCCCCGGCGCTGCCCTCTTCGGTCGGCGGCGGCCCCGGGCACGGCCTCCCGGCCGGCGCGGCTGCGCCGGGCTCCAGGGACGCTGGGCGGCCGTGGCGGCGGCTGGCCGGGCAGGCGGGCAGCCCTCCTGCCGGGCCGGGCCGGGCCGGCCCCCCGCTCCGCGCCCGGAGAGTTTCACTTCCCCGGTGACCCGAGTGCGCTGTATAAATAAATAAACAAACTCTTGCCGTGATGGAAACGAGGACGTGGGGTGCTCCTGCGCTCTGTAACGAGAAGTTCTTAATAAAATCTGTGCACAGAAGCTCTGGGCCAGCGCTTGGTCTGGTGGTTTGATTTTATTTGCAGCGTGGGGCACGGCCGTCTGCAGCAGGCTGTGAAAGGGGTAATGGTGCTCGGACACCCAACACCGCGCTCCGGTCCGGGCGCAGATCGGAGGGGAGAGCTTTAAGCCCGATGCGCAGATCACGTAACAGAGACACGGTTCCCTTTTGCTGCGTTATTTCTTCCCTGTATTTTTAACCCGACGTGAACTTGAGCTTGGCCGTGGCTGGTAAATCTCGGTTTGGGATTTGCTTTTGCCAGTTTCCCACAGACGTTTAGGTGCTGCACAGCGAGCAGGATTTGACCTCTATCGCTGCCTCAATCGCAGATGTCAACTCGGCTGCCTTTTGCCACCTTACACGAGCCTTGCCGTGCTGCTGCTGTGGGGCTTTTTTCCCTGTTTTGTTGCCTAGTATAGAAGACATTATTTTGACTTCATTTCAGCTTTTAAAACCCGGATATTTGCATTTTTATATACAGTAATAAGTAAAAATGATGCAAGAGTATTTAAAAACTTATTTTAACCAAAGATTGTAACACCTTTCAAATGTATACAAGGATAACTTTTTTTTTAATAGATCATATGACTTTTCTTCCCAAAAGCATGTTGATTTTGGTTTAATACATTTTTCCCCTCTTAAATATTGAAATGCCTGCACATAATCTGCTTCTGGAATAACACTTGTCATAATTTATTCTCTTCCTGGGGTTACAAACAAGTTTCCTATTAAACAAAGGAGTAGAGACTCTGTTTAGTCCCATCATGACCACCAAACACTATTTCAGAATACAGGAATTTTGAGACTCTACTTGCTTCCTTTGCTTGTATCAATATGGGGTTTTCTTACAGTAAAATGTTAATTCACTGAAATAAGCTTTTATTCAACATGGGTATTTGTGATTCACCTGTCCTTCCTTGTACATGAATTTCTGTCACTTCCACCACTCCTTTTGAAATGAAGGCCAAAGGTGCTCTGCATCACTCTGAATAATACCAACATGAAAAGAGGGTTTCTAAAGTTGAAATTGATTAACAGACATCTGTGGGTTTAAGTAAGTAACATAGGTGTTGATAGTGATTAAAGAGAATGTAGTCATTAGTGTATTTCATTCATTCTTTGTTTGATGGAATATGCACTTAAATACTAAAGTATAACAGTAAATCCTTGCTTGGTGTTTGTAGCTTTAGAAACACAACATTCTATTTTATAATAGAGTGGAAGACTCAGATCCATATTTTCTAACATGGATCTCTGCATTTCCTCACCAGCTTTGTATCCTCACAAATCAGAGAGAAAAGGGGACAGAGAGGTGGTTGTGTATTTGCTAAGCATCAATTACAAGTGACCTAAAGTGGAATAATTTGCATGCAGTATAGAAAAGTGTAATAATTTTTAGTTCTTTAATCTCACTGATAGAACATCAAATGTTAAATTAATACTCTCAGCTTTGTGTCTGGATCTGCAGTAATGGTCTGCATCTGTTCTTAATTTTTCTTCCAATACTTTTGGTGTGTACATATATATATGTACTCACATATACATATATATGTGTGTGTGTGTATATATATATATAAAAAAGGGTCTCTGCTACCCTGGGTGGGGAAAAAAAGCCAATCAAAACCCAAAGGTCTAAAAGGGGGAAATTCTCTGATAGAGAGAATTCAGAAACTTCTCATTTAGACTGTCACGTCATCAATCTGTCCTTCCTGGATGCCTGCACCAGCGTAGCTATTGCTGGTACTGATGTCAAAGATAAAATATTCTGTAGTAGCTTATCTTATTCTGGAAAGTAGGTGTTCTGCTGCAGGAAGAAGCAAACAGCCTCTTGCCTAAGTACAGCTACAGCTATGTAGGTGCAGATTCTGATAGCACATAAAGCCCTGACTAGGAATTTCTGTTGACACCCTTTTGAAACAAATGGGATATTCACACCTCACCTCTATTTTTGGATCTCTGGAAGCAAGTAGGGATCAGTTACTCATGCTGCATTTCTCAAGGCTTTTGTGCAGTGAGAAGGCCATGCTAGCAGTCACTAAAGTTAGTTTCATGGGACGTGACAGCAACCCTTGTCTGCAGAAACAGCCTTACTGAATCTGGTTTGAGCTCTTTGGTGCCCTACCTGCATACAGTTGAAGTTTCATGACAAGGCAGTGATTTAACTCTGAATCAAAAATTGTGTTGCTTCATCTGCAATCCGTGCAGTCCTACTTCATAGTGGTTATGAAAACCTGAGCAATCTTCAGTTAATGATCTTTGTACATCACCCAGCATGAAAACACTGATACCTGTTTTATTCTGCAAAACTTTTAGATCACTTGGTTGTACTGCAGTTAAAAAGGTTTCATTACCTTACAGTTGGTCTCTGACACAAGACTACACTAGCTACTTCAGACAAAGCTTCAGGAAGCCTCATAATGACCTATTCTGGAGCCACCTTCATGCAGGAAACATAAATGTCTGCCCTTGAGGTTCTCACACATTTTGGAGGGGAGAGTTCAAGTGATGTGTAAAAAATCTGATTCTCTAAGTGTTGTTCCAGTTATAGATTGTTTGGTCAATGAGGTTATCAACAAAATGGTTTTCCCCTGCATTTGGAAGAACTGGGTTGTATTTTCCTCTTTTGGCACAAACTTTTTCTAAACTTCAGGAATTTTGAGAGTTTATCCACTCACTGATGGACTGAAACCATAGTTCCACATACAGGTTTTGACAGAAATACTGGCTGAAGCATCCTCTGTCTGGTGGTTTGTTCATGTCTTCTCCATTGCACTGGCACGAGTGTTTGGGTTACTGCATGGTAGAGCTGACTGGGGAAATATCTATCAGGGTGAGGGATGGGAAGTCTGGTTATTTTTCACCTGGATCATCCCTCCCCTGATTGCTGCCGGCTGCATGTGATCTATACCAGCATATGCAGGGAAGGGTGGGTCAGGAAGATGAGGGCGGCTTAAACAACAGTGTTGCTAAATGAGAAAATGCAACCTACATGCGAATTTCAACTATTGCTGTGCTTGTAACTTAAACTGGATGGCACAGATCCTGTTGTGGCTCTTCCTGCTGCAGCCCTGCATCATTTAGCTAAACTCAAGTTTTTACGTGTGCTAAATACGAGTAAATGAACATGAGCAGCAGCCCTTCACAAACTTCAATATCACGTATACATACTGTTTGTTGTGCTGCTTATTTCCTTGGATTAAACACCTTTTGTGTGGTTTTGGGTGTTCTTTTAACAGCTCTAGCATTCACTTGCTCAGTGCTGTTCTCACATGTTTTCTTCTGACTTTTAAACTCCTGCTGCTGTTCTCTGCAGCTCTTTGCTGCAATCTCTTCAATCATCTCTCCAGCAACCCTGCAACTCCTGTGATATTTTGGCTACAATATCACATGCATTTTTTCTGATCAATGCTGCCCTTAATCTAATTTGTTGTCCACTGCTGTTCCGATATCAGTTGGATTTTGCTTTCCCTTGCACCTTTCCTAGGCTTAAATGTAAAATCTTTTTTCATCTAGCTTATATTTTATACCCCGTGGAGTAATGGACGGGAAGCATTTTTTCTTGCCTTTTTCTGATGACTGTTCCTCTGGCTCTATGCAGCTGGCCCAGACTCAAAACTCCGCTGTGCCTGTCCATTCCTCCAAGTGACATGCAGTGTGAGCAGGGTTGTAAATTTATGTCTTTGTAGGTTGTAGAGAGTTTTCTCTTGAATAAAAGCTTAGGGCATTGCTACAGAAATAGGACCCCTGCCCCTCTTTGTGAAACTCATCCAAATTTTCTTTTTTGTGCTGATAGGAAAGTTCTGGGAGATACCAAGATGTGAAAAAGGGCACTCTGTAGTAATGCCACAGTATAATACCATCAGAAGTCTTTTACTGTGGTTTCATCTGAGCTGATAAAACTGCATGTGGCTCTCAAGAGACCAACATTTCACTCCTTCCTTCTCTCCTGCTTCTGGTTCTGTGGTGTTCAGCTACCTCTTGCACTAGCTGCAGTTTTCATTGTATGTAAAATCTAATGAAGCAGTTCAGTAACCCAGGAGAAAACCGTCCTTTTTGTTAAGTTAGTTTCTTCTGTGTGAGTGAGCTGAATCAGTTGGTGATGATTGTTAGCACCAACACTGGTGCACATTCATAAGGAGATGCAGGGACAGGAAGTGGGGCCATAACTTTATGTCTTCAGCAGCAGAGAGCTGGGTCAGTAGACCCATCCTGGGGAACCGCAGCACATCCATGATTCATCATG